AGCTGCGTGCCTTCTGGCATCTGCAGCAGCATCAACCTGTCACCAGCTCTGACTGCTGCCCTGTCCATTCATTAACTCGAGCGTCCTGACTCTGCTGCTGTCAGCGTGTCAACATGAACCTTTACTCACCGATGTCCAGAACTCTCTGTTTGGCCGTGTGCTGCCGAGAGTGCCAGTACTTCCAGTATTTAAGCTGCTCGTCTCGGTTCTTGTCCTCGCTGAAGACCACCATGATCACGCTCTGAGACAGACACAGACAGAGGAGACAAGGGTTTGAATGTTAAACGTAAATGTTTCTTCTTCTTTTGGTTTTGGGATTCTGATCTCTGGGATTCTGGGAAGTGGAGTGTACAGAGAAAACTTTAGAAGTTAGCCTCAAAATAATTCACTGTCAGTGAAGGCTGATGGGCACCTCTTGATGCCTGTCTTTTAAATGGGGACACTGTCAAAATCGGACATTTCATGGATATTTTTAACAGCCCACTCACCCGAACTTTACTGATGGGGTGACGAAGACGGTTGTTGGTGCTCAGTTCGTTGAGCGTCACAGCGTAGAACTGGCCTTTGTTCAGGTAGGTCATCGGCCCCTCATCCTGCTTCTGACGCAGCGATCGGGGGGCGTCCAGCGTGTAGCGAAAATCACTGGACAAAAACAACAAAAAGACGATTAGGCTGTTTTTGGTTGACCTGTTACAGTTGCTGTTAGCGAGTTAGCGGCTACACAAATAACTACAAATGGTTAATGTGAACCGTGCTGTGCTGTGTCATTGTACTGTTAGTGACTCACACTCGCTCCTGGTGAAATAAGAAGTCATCCGCAGCCATAGAGGAAGATGTGTGGTACTTCTGCAGAGAATGCAAAATAACTGGTTACACAATGTTGCGAACAAACCCGCGGCTCAAGGCTGAACCTTTACAGTCCCATAAATACAGTCCAGAGAATTCAGCCCAGTTTGTCAAGTGGCCACTTTTCTTTTCCTTTTCTTTTCCTCAACCTTTGGACTCGGTGAATCATAGTATTTAAACATATACTGTGTTTGCGCTAGCATACCATCACAGCTCCACCCAGGCCACGCTGTTGTTCTGACTTACGTTTCCCACGAAGACCAATTACACATTACTGCCAAAGAAATCGGGAATTAAGAATTTGAATGTGTTGAATTTCAGGTGCTTTCAATGTTATTGTTTTTTTTATTTTTTTTTTCTCTGTGTTGAATTTCAGGTGCTTTCAATGTTGTTGTTTTTTTATTTTTTTTCTCAATTTTATTACAGCTGACAACACTCATCTAATATAAGTATATATTTACTTAGTCATTGAAATATAATAATAATAATAGTAATAATATGAAGTTCTGCCTATCACCAGGCTTCATTTAATTTAAAGTTTATTTTTCCGGCCTTTAGCTCAACTGGACTTTTCATGAGTCACGGTGTTTTACTGCAGTATTTTCTGCTGAAACCTTTGAACCCTGACACTTGAAAATGACATCACATTCTACCACAGACAACCTGAAACATCTGCTGACACTACACATATATTCAGACGTAGTCTAGTTTCCCAGTTAGCAGTACTTTCTCACCACATCTCTCTCCTCTTCGTACGGACTGTCTGGTGGACTCTGCTGGTCCTCTTTGATGTACGAGCTGTGGCTGACGGTGGTGGCCTCGTACGGGCTCTGTTCGTAGATCACCCTCGCCGACTCGTCTCCTTCCACTCTGTAGTGTATCGACGGAGCGGCCGTGAAGACTGACGTGTACACCTCGGCCTTCACCACGGCTCCGGAGCTCGTGCTCGTCACCGCGGAGCTGCTGAATTGGTCACGTTTGGTCTCCTGGTGCTCGGTGTTTATGGACAGGTTGACGGGGACAGACTTGAGGACCTGAACTCGGTTGTCCACAGTTTCCACCCCCTCACTTTGGCTGTTGGGGGGGGTCTGCAGTGTAGTCCTGTAGGGGAAAAAAGGAGGAATACTCACAATGACTGTAGTAATAACTACACATTGTTGGGGGGGGTCTGCAGTGTAGTCCTTTAGGGAAAAAAAGGAGGATGAACTCAGTACTCACAATAGTAATAACTACACAGTTGACATGTGAAGGAAATGATATTTCTTTGTTTACTGTTTTGGTTTTTGGTCTTTGGTCCTAAAAAAAGAGCTAAAACGTAAAATAACGAGAGTTAGCCAATTAGCCATTATTGAAAAGAAGCCAAATAGTTAAAAATAGTCCAGACAAACAAAGGTTTGCTCTACAAAAAGCAAAGGCAAATCAAGAATTCACCAAAACATCCGAACATTTACCTTTTATTTATACAAGACAATCGTACAGATGTACAAAATAAGTCTGTTTAAAGACACTGAAAATAGCAAAGAAAAAAGCATATTGTCAGGAAAAGTGAATTAAAAAAAATTAAAGACCCGACAGTTACTACAGCTAATAGGAAATACAGTAGCATCCAAGAAAAGATAAACAAACGTTAGCTCAAAAAAGCAAAGATAAGCCAAAAATTGAGAAAAATATACTAATGCTAAAATAGCAAAATAATAATAATAATAATGAATAACAACTGGCATTAATACAGCACCTTTTTAAACAAACAAACAAACATGAACGTTAGTGAGAAATACCCAGAGACTACCAAAACAGGCCACTCAACTTTTCATTAAAAATTAGCTTAAAAATAGCTAAAGGTAAAAACCATAATAATCCCAAATCCAATGATTTGTTCAGTTAAATTGAAGTTTGCTCAAACTGACAATGAGCTTTATGAGTCTTTATGATTTGTTAGTAATTCAATTCTTCATGAGGAGAAAAATAGAAAAGTTTTACATGAGCTTTAGTAACAATAGGCTGAATATAGAGTATCAGCAGCCTCCTTTCATACAGTGACGTGGTTTTTACCGTGGAATAATGTCTGAAATTCTACACCTACATTCAAGATTCTGGTTTTAACAGTTGTATTGTCTGATGCCCAGTGAGAAAAACTGCAGATTTATGTAAAGGACACCGCAGGCAAATGTGTTGACACTGGCTCATAATGACGACAACATGTTATTCACAATCACCTAATGCACTGGAGCATCTTTATCCTCTTTCACACTAACACTCAGATGAAGTTCTATTCCTAACACCAGATTAGTAACATGGATTTTTTTATAGCGTGCTGCGCTGAGAGGCTGATATCATCAAATACTCGGCCGAGTATTTGTACTTTTCAGTGCAGTCTTTGATGTGACCCAACAGAAACAAAAATCACTCATCTGTGATATTTGCCAACACACAGTCTTTACTCTCTCCAACTGTACTCTCTGACTCTTATCTCCAATCCATTCTTTATCACATCTTTATTAGCCGTTCGCTTTGAGAGAAAGTCAAATCTGTTCTTTTTTTTTTATAAGTAATCCCATTAACCAGAGGTCAGACAGCTCTACTACTGCAGTTCTACTCCAAACACGGCTACTCGGTACTCAGTATGCCAGTGCGTGTGTGACCTTCACTGACCTCTTCTCCTGTTCCTCTGTGATTTCAACAACTTTGGGAACTGGCAGCAGTCTCTTTTCTTTCGGCACCTGAAATTCCCAAAGTGAATACATCAAAAGTTGCTGGAAAATGTTCGTTATTAAAGCAAACGGTTGCAAGAAATGCCAGGATATTTCTTTTTAATTTAGTAAAGATAAATACAGGTGTTAAGAGTGTATTTTCTGGTCAAATGCAATAAATTTAACTTAGACTAATGATAATTAGGAAAGTGTATTAAACTGTGTTTAATCACATTGTAGTTTAAATTAGGGGACATTAAATGTTGACCAATCAGAGGCCTCTCCACAGAGCTAAACCAGAACAGTATGTGCACAGTTAGCTTATGTGAAAGTTATTGGTTTTTATCGTTGGCAATAATTTCTTCTGCTGCAAAGATGTATTATTTTCCACTTTGGTGCCAACTACTGGAACTCTCTGTGAACCACAGCCGTACAGGAATAGTTCCTAATGTAAACGGTATGAACGGTAATCTTTGTTTATTAGAACCTTGTAGTAGTCGTAGAGCAGGCCCAGGGCGTTGGCGCTGTCCTCGTCCCCGTTGATGCTCATCATGGCTTTGGTGGCGGCCGTCAGAGGGTTCTCCAGATACGACCTCCACGCCTCATCCTCGCTGGTGTAGGCCCGTCGCACGGCAGGGAAGGAGCTCTCATTGGGGACTACCACCACCAGACGTTTACTAGTAGACATTCACAAGTACACAATTACAACAAGGATACAATGTGTCTGTGTGTAGAGACAGTTATTAGGCCACTTGAGTCCACATCACAGACCGGTTGGACACGCTGTGTTGTCACAACATGAAGTTGAGCTCAGGTTATGGATCAGTGCTGTCACAACATTTACTCAATAGTTACTAGTGCTGCTTTTTTCTCTCAATAATGCCTCTGTGCCTGCACATGTTGCTCACTTTCTTTAGGACAATTCTACGTAGCAGGTGAACTGAACGGTTGTCCTGGATAACGAGCATCTAAAAAGGTGTAACGGCCGACCGACTGACTGTCGATGCCTCTGTGCCTGAGCAAAATCTTCACTGTCAATATTGACTTTGAGAAAATCCACAGGCCGACTGTTCTTAATCTGCAACTATGAAGACATACTTCCTACTTCATGACGTCATTTACTTCATGATCTCTGACTTTAAGTGTTATTACACTTTGTACAGTTGCATTTATAAACACAAACCTTACATCAGCAGCATATAGTAGAATATATTTTTATAAACACAAACCTTACATCAGCAGAATATAGTAGATTATATAGAATATATAGCCCACTTTTTCTGATCGGCCGCACACATTTGATACACGCGTCAGGAGAGGGCAGGGGCGGCAACGAGCACGACGACGAAGATCATGTTTACAGTGCGAACACACACTCTGCTGCATCCACCAGCGTGTGTCACAACAGTGGCTGACACCTGCTGTTTCCACAGGAGCACTGGTGCGGGATGCATCAGACGGCAACACTACGGTCCACTCAGGACTGAGCTGCAACTACTGTTAGTTTGACTACGAATCCTGAATCAGTCAGGCCAAAAAAAAAACAAAACACACAAATCTAACACATGAAAATGAAATAGTGATGAATTATTCAAAACATTTTATCTAAAAGTGACAGATACTCCAGCAGCGTGTACGTCTACACTGATGTCTGAAACACCAGTAATTATAGGAGGAACAATAAGAGTCGACTATTATGACTTTTTGTCATCGCTGACTGATGGGTTTTTATCAGATCCTCAACTTAACTGAACTACAATAAACTGAATTTCACAGAGAATATGATAACTCATTGTTGTAAATTAACAATTACAATATAATAATGAATTAGTAATAGTACTGATATGGTGTATAGCTCTATAATAATAATAATAACAACAATAATATTATTAATAAGTGTAATAATAATAATAATAATAATTCACACATCATTTGTGGTGTTGAACAGATTTCCCCACAATTCTCTGTGAAATTGACCACACAGACCAAATGATAAAGGGACAATTCATCTATTATTAAAATGTGTTATTACAACGTACTCGAACACACCTTATATCATCAAACTGCACCGCCATATTCAGTGCTTTGATGCACATGTCAAGTCAAAAACTTCTACTATTTCTGACAAGTTGGTTGACAGTAGAGTGGAATTATTTTCTTAACAAATAAATCGTGAGGCTAAAAACACGTTGGTCTCACGCAACTGTGTTTTAAACCTAAGAACAGGTTCACTGCGGGCCCCAAATATGACACATATGTAAATTCAGGAGTCAGACGTCAAGCCGTTTTATTGCAGACAAACACGTTTGTGTGCTTTAAATGAACCCCAATCCCTGCACCATGCAGCTCTGTCTCAATCCCATCAGTCAAAAATGGCGAATTCGAGTCTGTAAGGAAAACTCCACGGCGCCAAGTCGCCCCCCAACCCTCACCCTCACCCCCAGGCCTGGGTGATAACAGAGGAATATTGTATTTGTATCTAATAAATCCAGCAGTTACAGCAGCATCGCTGAGAGCACACAGCAGAGGAAGATCCTCACGTCTGACACAACAAACTGATTTTCCCGTGTGTTTTTTTTCCCCAGGTTGATCAAAGATGGCATCAGGAAACGACTTGGTTAAAAGAGAAAAAAAACACACACACAAGTGAGTAGTTTCCTTTCGAGCAGGACAGCATCAAAGCTGCCTCGATCACTTACTTGTCTGTCTCCTGTGACATATTTTCGCTTCCTCTCCGATCCTTCCTTGTGAAACAGGACTTTCAGGTCGGAACAGGTCATAGACACAGTGATCTGCAGAAGTCGGGCTACAGGTAAGTCGACTTTCCTCCGCCCGCTTCCCCTCTAGGTCTCTCTCTCTCTCTCCCCCTCTCTCTCTCTCTCACCCTCTTTCTCTCTCTCTCACTCACACACACACACCTGGTTGCAGGTAAGTCCTCTTTCACTTTCTCTAATGTGCATAATTTATTTATAGATTTAAATCATTTTAAATCAACTCCCGTCGTGTTGCTAACGCCTAATGTTGTTGTTGTTATTGGTTTTCAACTCAACTTTAATAAATTCTTTCACTGGGAAAAGGATGGTGACGGCAACGGGAAATGCCCACTTTGATTGGCTGCCGGTGCAGGTAAGGTGAGCGCTGATTGGCTGTTACAAACATACTAACGCACTGGGAGGGGAATAAAAGGCAACACACAGGGGCGCTCTGAGCTCTCATCAAGTAAGACTAAAACGTGGTTTTAGGCCCCTGGTGGTCAAAGTTGAACATTAATGTAGGAATACAATAATCTGATTGGTTACTGCACACAGGAGTAGTGGCCACTAGCGGCAGAAAGTCACCATACTGTTGGTGTTGTTCTGTGTGAGGTGGTAATTATTTTCCTCCATATCTACATTTGTATTAATTAGTGGTTAATATAATTTATATTAGCTGTATTACAAGATTTAAAACATAAATAAATAAATATAAATTAGCAGTTTATTTTTTAATTTTGCTTTCCAGCCATAAATCCATCTGTGGCCCTGGAGCTCCAACACAGACTGCCTATCAGAAGTGTCAAGCGTTGGGGCGGGGGCATCAAACCACACTCTGTGATGACCTCAGAGAGACATACATTTCCACTTATTTAACATTACGCCCCTCTCTCTCTCCCCCTCTCCCTGTCTGTGTGTGTGTGTGTGTGTGTGTGTCAGGTAATCTCAGGGGGCACAGGAGGCAGGGTGGAGCCCTGTCATTAGCTGACACTCTTCCATTGTCCTTCTAATGAAGCCATTGTATGAGCGTCTCAGACAATGTCAGAGCGAACTTTGTTTGTGTTTGGATTTATGTGTGTGTTTGCACGCCCACGGGAGTTTGGAACATTTCATCCAAATTAACACTCGGCTTTTCTCCTTTATTTACCTTGAACGGTGAACAGTTGGTGTTGGTTGTTAGATTGGGTTTAATGGACAATTGTTTGGTCGATTGTTTGGTGATTTTGGGTGGTAGTAAAGTAATTATGTATGTCTGGGTTGCCTGTTGATGGTTAGGTGGTAATCTGGGTTGTAGGTTAATAGGTTAGTAGGTTTGTGGATCAGGAAACTGACTTTCTTTTCATTCGTCTAGTTGTTTTAAATCCCTCCCTGCTGCAGTTGATCACCACAGACACAGTTAATGAATGTCTCTCATGTCAAAGATCTTTTTTTTTTTTAACGCTGACTGTGAATATTTTCACGGCTGTTTTTAAAACACAGTGAACATCTTCTTTGACTATTTGCATGACAAAATAATCACTCTGTGTGTGTGTGTGAAAACACCCTCAGGCACCCAAATATGGAAATGTCAAAATAATGTTCCAGGTACTGTTTAACCGTCACTGCACGCGTGTGTCGATGAGCAGGATGGTGGTTGTTCGCTCTGTCTTTAAAACCGTCCTCTTGTCTCATTGGTTTTACAGAACACCTGGGCCTTCTCTCTCTCTCTCTCTCTCTGTGCGTGTGTGAGAGAGTGTGTTTAAATGGAACTGCTAGATAAATACAGGTGGGGTTCCATTCTATTCACACAGATAAGAGGAACAAAACAGAGACAACACAAAGGGACATAGTAGATTGGCTTCTAAATTACAAGGATAATTCTGAGTTAGATGTACTGTCATTTTCCTTAAGCAGGGTGGGGGTTGCTGGTTTGAAGGCCAGGGGGTGGGGGGCTTCATTAGAGAGTCCACAAAACCACTGCAAATCTGCACAGAATCAACTGTGTTTTACCTTTTAGTCAAATGAAACGGACCAAGTTTCTGGATGATGTATTTGACTGCTCCATGTCTCTGACTGGTGTCCACTGGAATGTCTACCATGTGGTGCTTTGACAGATGAAACAGTCTGAGGGCTACTGTACAAGCCGCCACAGGCCGACTGCAAAGTCAAGGGCCGAGGATAACAGAATACCTCCAATGTGTGTGTGTGTTTGTGTGTGTATGTGTGCCACTCCGAGGGGTGAAAGGTGTATTCTACATACCTGGAGTTTTTTCCCGGGGAGAAGCAGCTTGTCTGGACTTGGCCAGGACTGAGTGTCTCGAGTCCTTTTTTTGAGAAGTTACCTTTCATTTGTCAGTTAGCCGTGCTACATCAAACGACTGAGGAGTTCACTGCTCCACAGCTGAGGAGAAAAGGACGGTGATTAAACTGCCCAGACATACCTGACAGTAAATGACTGAAATATAACACAACCAAAGCTAATATATAGCACATCGCTGCCAAAGAATAGTAAATATTACCTGATGGGGTTCAGTTAAAAGAGTAGGAAATGGCACAAAATAAGACAGAAGTTAAGGTGTAGTGACCAGTAAACTGAAACATTTTATAGATGCAAAATGTGACGATGCTGCTGTAGAAATGATTAAAAATGCCTCCAAATTATAATTCATATAGAAAACACACTTTATTATAGATAGTGATGACGTAGACAATATCTGCTGTCGTTCAACTGACTGACCCCAGAGCTGTGTATGGCTGTGTGTGTGTGTGCTCAGGTAAGAAATGAACCCTATGTACGTCTCTGACCTTCACCAGGTCAGTCATGAGGGGAAAAAAAGAATCCTCTCAAATACAGACAACAGCAGTTTGACATTTTAAAGCCTGAAAAGGTGAACAAACTCTAACTATTGGTTTCTTTCCATTCAGTCTTTATAAAAACGACCACAGCGACAGCCTTACAAGTGTCAGTTAAGACACACAGCCACTAACCACCAGCATGTGGTTGTGTTTTGACTGCGCTGTGGTTCGAATACTGTCCGACTGGTCTGGTAGCATTGTGGACGCGTGTCACGGTGTTGAGTAGCGGCGGCAGCGGACTGCGGCAAAACCTGTTGGTTCGGACAAAAAAGGAGAAAGTGTGAGGAGGAGCAGCTGCGAGTGGGAGGAAGTGGCTGAAGGGGAAGGTGAAATCCATCTTCCTCTTCCCTCAACAGTGTGCCGAGAACACAGCAGGTCACAGGAACCTTTGACAACAAGTGATTCTCTCTCTGTAGAATCATTGTTGTCAGACTATTTTTTACAACCTGGCTCAGTTGGAATAATTATGCCCAGAAAGACAAACCAGACCCAAAATATACTTCCAGAAATTGACCTTGATTCTCTCCGATTGGCTGCAGAACAGAGTTGATAGTGTGGGAACTGAGCAGTAAAAAAACATGGATATGTCGAAAGTGAACCTGAAAGCCCTTGTGGCGGGAGGAAAAGACCCAAATGGGGGGAAGACATAAAATCTCAGGCTGTCTGTGTTAAAGCCCGGCTCATTCATATGCACAATGGACAAGCAGATAATATTCTCCTGTCCTATTGAGTATCTGACACCTGGAAGATTTGTTTTCACATAGGCCCTAAGGCTGGCCAACCCCACCCAAATTTAAGCTAGCAAGTCTCTGCACAACAACCTCCAGGGTGGGGGAACTTGAGCAATGCATGGCTTTTGTCAACCCCCCCCCACTCCCCCTCTTTTTCTTACACTTTTTGCCCCCCCCCCCCCCCCCCTCTTTTTTCTTACACTTTTTGCCCCCTTTCTGAAAGGATAATCACATCCTTCTCTCCTGAGAGATACCCCCCACCCCTCCTTTTTTTTTTACAAAAGACAGAAGGGATTGTCTCAGTTTTTTGATGATGACAAAAACAGCAGAGAGGTGGCGGTAACAGTGGTGGTAAAGGAAACAATGGCCACAATGGGAACATTTCAGAGGAAAAAGT